TCTCGAATGGATTAAGTGTGAAGAAAAAAGGAAAAGAGTAAGGGACTTTGCAGGAAATTCATGGTTACAAAGCAGAAGAGAGGGAAGCCATAAGAGGATTAAGGGGGGAAAAAGAAAGGAACAATTTCAATAGAACTAAAAGGGTAGTGGCAATGAACCAAGAGAGGTATACTTCAATCTTCTGGTAGAAAGCTATCCAAAATGCAATATGAAATTCCCAGAAATGTTGCACTATGGGAATAAAGAATGTGATACAGGGACTAGGACATCTCAGCAATGGACCCGGTATTAAACATGTGCAAGACTTCTTCCTCCTATTCCCATACATATCAAATTCTAAAGTTTCAATGTCACTAATGATCTATAGTGACATCCAAAATCTCAATCATGTATCTCAATAACTGGTTCAGAAAAGTTACTGTAATCATCAACTACTTTAAATAAATTTTCAAAAATCTTAAAAAGAATCGCCAGTGCTAACTAAAGTGCTCTGAAGTATAAAAATACTGAAATAATTTTTTAAACTAAGGCAAACCAAAGATAATATCTTATTATTTCAAAGAATTCTTCCATACACCCAACTGTGTCACAAAGCAATTGATTAATGCCAAACAACTGGTTTGTAATCATTTTAGAGAAAGTGACAGGCCACCAAATACTTAGCCTTATAGTAGTCATATTTTCTGTGGTCAAATGATTCATCTTCACATTTGGAAGCTATAATAAATCAGTTCTTATAGAATTCAACTTAAAATGGGAAGAAAAAGTCTAGTCAACTCAATTTACATTTTATTATTGTGGTGTTCCATTTTCCTATTGTAAAAAAACACACACACACAAACCAAAACAAACAAACAAACAAAAAACAGGTGACATGCTGAAGGCACTAAACAACTACAAGTAACTGATCCTAATGGTTTTAAGTTTGAGCATTTGGCAGGATTATATGATACACTGATACCTCCCTTCTGAGTGTTTTCCCTCTGTGCCCTACATTTTTTTTTTTACCTTTTATTTCTCTCTTTAAAAAAATCTACATTTTGACAAACCTTTCTAGATTTTTACATAGATCTAGCCTTTGCATAATTCATACAAGAAAAAAGGCCAAGGAGTTTTTAAACACTGCGATTTGGCAACATTGTCTCTCTGTGAAGCTATTAGCAACAAGATTGCAAATATAAATTGGATACATGTAGCCCCTGACATACAGACACCTACTTTCACCACATTCAGATAGACACAGAGGTTGTCCTAGCTGACACAAGCCCATCTCTACTCTCCCTTCATCCCATAACATCTGGGACCTAGACGCTACTGCAATTCAAACCATCTCAAGAAAAAAACAGGAGCTTTTGCATTTCAGCTCATGAAAAGCAAGCATATCTCAAGGGAGTGCAACAGGGTAGGGGACTGTAATAGGAAGATCGAACTTTATATGGAGAGAAAGGGAAATAGGATGTGGGATGGGAATATGGAAAGGAGAAACAAATACTACTAAATTATTCTAGCCACTTGAAATTTTTACATAGAGTCAGGCCTATGCCACACTAAAGGAACTAAAACAATTAATGTAAGGAGTTAAAAATCACTGCTGGCTAGCCTACCAACCACCAGTCATAAGTTTTTATGAGAAAATGAACTCCAAGTTCCAAATGCATTCAGCCTATATTGGTGCAGTAAACAGGACAGACAACGGGAGTCCCGGTTCCCATGTCCAAATGGAAAATAACTAAAAACAGGTAAATGAGCAAACAGCATTACATACTATGATGAGGGCTATGAGGAAAAGAGTGTGCAGCCAGAAAATAGTTAGGGGTGCACATTTTAGATAAGGTAATTGAAATCTATGAAGAGGTAGCATTTGTATCAAATTCAGAGGAAGAAAAGGAGGTAGCCATTCCAAAAGCAGGAGAAAGAACTGTCCAAGGGAATAAGCCCTGAGTCAAGTCTTGTTCAGGTATCTTTGGGATCACTGTGACAGCAGTAAATCAGACGGAAGAGTGACATACAATAAAGTCTGAAAAGCCAGACAATGCAGACGTTTGTAGGAAGGAACTGAGGAAGGTTTATAGGTAAGGAACTGAGAATTTATTCTGATGTTTTGAAAGGCCATCAATGAGCTTATAAATTTGTAATTTTATAGCACAGCTTATTAACTGAGGATATGTTTCATAAATCATAATAGTAAAAGTGAATATTTTAAACTGAAAAACTTCCCATTATCTGGAATCTAGTTTACTATAAATATTGATCACAGGCCTACAGCTATTGTAACCTTTCTACTTGTTATCAGCAAATTCCCCTTCCTGGCCCTAGTGCAATATTCCTTTCATAGCACTTACCACATTTTGAATTTTTTTGTTTGTTGTACTGTTTTTGGTCTTTTCCCCACACTGGTCTATAAGCTCCACGAATGCAGAGACCACACCTGTCGCAACATTCTTTTCCAAGAATCTCATACCATACCTAATACTAAGTGGGTAATTAGGACTTATTTATGGAACAAGGAACAAAAATGATTTATGTAGTATTTAATGAGCACCTAGTTATTCTTGACCCTGAGGAAACAGAAAAACTGAAGTGTGCCATCCATTCCCCCAAGAAGCTCAGGGCATGTGTGCGTGTGTGTGTGTGTGTGTGTGTGTGTGTGTGTCTTATAAACAGCTAGGTTACAATGTGCTCTGAACAAACTGTTGTGGGAGTCCAGAGGAGGGGGCACATATGGTCTAACAAAAGATTTTCTCTGTGCAGACATGAATATTTATATGAAAAGCCCAATGAAGGTACAAAAATATAATCAGAGATGTTTAACGAATACCTTGACTAAAATTACACACATTTTGTGGACATACATCTACGGCATAGAACATCTGTGCTTATAGCAGCTGAGGATAATGGCATGCTGCCTACATTATTCCTGGGTTCAGCTTTGGGGAACATCTGACAAGCATCCCACTAAAAAAGGAATCTCCAACTGCTCTGCAGAGCATAAGGTAAGCTTACACAATATCCAACCTGAAGTGTGAAATTCCAGATTTCCTACCCCCCACATCTCAGGGTGCCAAGTTTTGAGCTGCACTGATTCAGCAGTATGTTTATAGTCTTTTCACAGAAATTGGTGACAACACAGCTCTTTCCGACCTTTATGGCACTACTAAAGGAAAACTGTAATGGCCAACACTATTTGGGCGGCAGAGCAAATCATAAAAGGTTAAAAAAAAATAAAAGGAAAACTAATAGGATCACAGGATTACATTCAGCATTATTTAACAAGTGATAACAGAACAAGTTAGCAAAAACAAAAGCCTTTTCAGCAGACTTGGAAGCAAAAACAGTACTGTGTAACACAATTTAGATCTACTGTTTTGCTGAAGCGAAATCTTGCATTCCTTAAAAAAAGGAAATTACTTCCTCCAGGAAAAAAAAAAAGCAAAGCAAAAGCGTGGCATTTTATAGATTATTTTCATATTCCATCAAAAAAGACAGCACAGCATGACCCTCAAAAGAACATTTTAGCCAGCTTTAGCCAAGCACTTTTAGCCAGCTTAAAGAACAGGTCTGTCTACTGCCTCCTAGAAAACAGACTATGCAATAAAATGTAATTTGGGTTATAACAAAGTTTAGAGCTACACATCTCAAACGAATAAATGTTGATAATGTAAAGTTCAGGAGAGACTGGGTGTGGGAAAGGGAATAAATTAGGAAACCACAGTGGTAAATATTCAGTAATAATCTATCAACTGGACAAGAAATAAAGGTGCCTTTGTCGGAACAGGTTAATACAAAAGGCAGATTCGTCGAACTTATTTCTCAATTGGAAGCATCGTAGGGACAAGTTGTACAAGGGGCTTTGGCTGGTTTTTCCCAGCACAGAATAAGCGGCAAAATAAATGCTTTTAGAACTTGGATAGCTGGAACTTTATGTGAACGCCAATGTTTCTAAAGTAGTAATGCTAAATGTCCTTACGACAGTCTAACTTGTGTTGTGAGTCAATTAAACACAAGCATTGAACACATTCCTACTAGTTCGAGAGTCGAAACGGAATCTTTACTCTCTGGCTACATACAAGACACTAAATTTGACTATCATAATATGGATTCATTAATGAACTAAGAGACTTCAAGAAAAATTACATATCCGATACCAAGGATGCAAAATAGCAAAACGACACAGAAACGCCAAGCACCGAATTGGAGAAAACAGGTTAAACGCGGCTAACTGTAATCCCATTCATCCCAGTGATCCTGGGAACACCGGCAAACACTACCAACCCTCCCGTCCTTCCTCCTTCCAAGAACGCTGCTGAAAGAAACCCTAGCTGGCGATCTCGGAGCTTGTCAATATACGCTGAAATTTCTAGAAAAGTTGCTGATGAAGAAGCGTGGCCCAGCCAGCATTCCAAAAACAAGGCCACCCCGGCACCGGATGCAACACGCTGGTGGACTTGGCAGCACCTGGGCAGGAGGGTGTGGACCTGACTAGGCAAGGTCGGTTCCACTCGGGCAGCGCCTCCACCCCTCGGCCCGCCCAGCCCCGGCCCACCGAGGTTCTCCGCATCCCGACTCCCCCTCAGCAGCCCCCGGGCTCCCGCGCTGGCACTTGGCCACCTCAATCTCTCCACCTGCGGCCAGAGGAGCAGGCGCCCCTCGCCTTCCCCACAACCCCGCGCGCGAGGGCAGCCGGCGCGAGGAAGCACTGCGTTCGCCTCGCTCGGGTCCCTACACACCAATATTCCAACGCCCCACCCCAGAGCATGCAGCTCTCTCTCCACCCCGCTCGAGAGTCGTGCCCCCAACACGTCCGTCACACCCGGCCACCTTCCCCAGGCCGAGCCCGGCAGCCTTACCCCGACCCCCGAAAGCACACGGCTAGAAATAAGACCTCCTACTCCAGGCGACTGAGTGACTCTGATCCGCGGCGGCCCGTTCGCGACACTTTCGCGATTGCCGTAAAGGGAGACAGGGTCGGAACGAGCGGCGGCGCGGGCGCGCTCCTCGGGGCGGTAAGCGCGCCCCAGGCCTGGCCTGGCTGCTCGGGAGCGCGCCCCGGAGGCCCGCCCTGTTTTCGTCCGGCGGGACCGCTCCCGACGCGGCGGCCAGCACTAGCCGGCCCAGGCAAGCAAGGTAAGCCGAAAAGGGGATGAGGGCCGGCCCCAGACCGCTGTCGGTGGGTGTGTCAAAGGATGGGATAGGGCGGGTCGGAGAAGTGGAAGCGGCCCGGAGCCCGCCCGCCACCCCCCTCCCCCCCGACCAAGGTGGCCCGCGCACGAGTCGCGTGCCAGCTGGCCCTACGCTGTGCGAAGCGCGGGAGAGGGACCTGGTGGTGGTCGGGGCGCGGGCGGGCTCCGGGGGACCGGGGCGGGTGTGTGCACTGGGCTTAGGTCTCCGCGCTTCACCTTTGCGCCCCCATCCTTGGGCGGTCCCCCTCCCACTTCCCTCTCCCTTGCCCCCTATCCGCGAGCCGGGCCAGGCTCCACCTCCCGCATTTTTCCTGGCCCCAGGTGCTAGTCCGAGGGCTTTGCACCTCTGAAGGAGGCAACGGTGTAAATAGTGCCTTGGTTTTGTTTTAAGCGGCTACTGAGAACCTTCGCCCCAGTCCCACAAAAACTGCAGTTTTCACTCCCAGGCTCAGAGTTCTTGGTAGGGTGCTTGGGGACAGGTTTGAAATTGAGATCTGTGTTGACCTTGTGTTTACCCGAAGCTTGTCCACCACGCGCAGTTCTGGCGCGGGGCGGAGTGAACGGTGTGTGAGCCCGATACGGAAAGGTAAATGGCTGGTCCTTTGTATCCTCACACCGTGCTTTCTTTGCATTAGGATACATTTGAAAAACAGAAAACACACCAGGGAAATTTTTCCAGTTCTCCCAAATTTTAATTTATAAATCAGTACCCAAATGCCCTTCTGTAATTCTTGTGGCATCATCAGATTCTCCCCCATTTCTCTCCCTATAACATTTGACCCAACGTATAACAAAGTTACTTAATCTTTTAGACTCTATAGGATTTAGCAATTACAAGAATATCACATTTGCTAGAAGGCCAAGTTAGAGTTTAGACAAATAACCGTTTTCTGTTTTGCTTTGGGCCTGATGGTTCCATAGAATTTTTTTTTTTTAAGCTTTCTCTCTTTTTTAGGCTTTCTCTCTTCAGTTGGAATATCTAGAATTTACTTTCTTGTTGTTTCTTATCAGTCACCACTTAGAGGACTCAGCAGATGAATAAGGAATTCATCTTATTACCAGCGGCATTCAAACATTTGTGAAATTTAAGAATTGTAACTGCAGTTCTGATTCGTGGATCTTCAAAGAAAGTAGAGAAGGTAGGTGAGAGATGCAACATTTTGTTAATCACTCTTACTACTCTATGAAGATTATTCCTGCTTATTTTCAAAGGTTTCCTTAAATCATTAACCATTAAAATTTTAACTTTATTTGCTTGGCACTTAGCCAGCCATACTTCCAGCTTTCCACTGTGAAAATACATGAGCAAAAGTAGTCTTCCTTACCAAGTCAGTGCACTTAAAGTTTTCAGTTGTCATTAGCAAATTGGTAAATCATTTCAAGCCCTGCTTCTCATCTAAACTGTCAGTTTAAACAATGAGAACCCTCAAAGCCCAAGGAGATACAACTCCAAGATGATTCACACATGCAAAGAATTGAGTGTTGTTCCCCATCCCTGTGGCTAGTTGTACAGAATTGATAAATCAACTCTCATTGTTAAATTGTGTACTTACTCTGTTCTACTCTAAGGAACAACCCTTTGATATAGCTGCTTTCCAAATCAGAATACTGTAACTCAGAGAAGCTTAGTAACTTTCCTAAATCACACAGCTGGGACTTGATAAAGCTAGGATTTGCACTTGGCTAAATGTCACAACTGATTTCACAACTGTGTTCTTTCCATTGCATCACACAGACTAATGTTTTATTTTGCTTAATAATAAACTATTGTTCTTTCCTCATTTTTGTCTTTCCTTTTGTAGGAGGAAACTCAGTGTTTTTCCTTTCATTTTATCTTTTTTGAGGTCAGTGAAAGTTGTCTAATGGGAGAAAGGATAGGAAAATTGACATCCTGGATTTAAAATATTAATTTCTGATGGTACAACATCATTATAAAACACACTAGTACACTTATCTTGAGCACTGAGTAATGTATAGAATGGTTGAATCACTGTATCGTATGCCTGAAACTAATATAACACCATATGTTAACTATACTAGATTTAAAATAAAAAAAATTAAACATACAATTATCAACTCCTTAAAGAAAAATAAGTTATTAATAATTCTATAACACAGTGTTCTACCCATGAACAAATATTGATACCTTGACTTGAAATTGTACATGTTTAAAAGAAAACAGTTTGAAAAACCCCTTTACTCTCTTTGTATGTAGATTTCAAGATTTACAAAGGTGCAGGTTTGTGCAGATTTGAAGACGTATCTTATGAACTTGTAAAACAGGTAATTCATCTTTTGCATTCTACAAGAGGAACAACCATTTATGGACCATCTATGACAGTATTTCACTTATATTAATTCATTTAGCTCTTGACTAAACCTCTGTGCAGTGGGCATTATTTTAAACAGTTAATTGTAAAAGATAGCCCTTATTATGTACCAGTAATGTGTTAGTTTCTTGTGCTATGTCAGTGCAATCCCTGTGATAGCTATGTAGCATGGTACAATAGAACTCTCCTATTGATAATGGAAAATGTTCTATGTGTTCACCATCTTCCATGGTAGCCACTAGACACATGTGGCTTTTGAGCACTTGAAATGTGGCTAGTGTGACTGAAAGACTGAATTTTAAGTTTTATTTTAGTCATTTGTAATTTTAATTTAAATAGCCACATTTGGCTGGAGGATTCTGTATTGGAACATAGGGTTACTCTGAGGTTTTAGAATCTGGATAACCTAGAAAAATGGTAATACTGTTTGCTGAAGTAGAAAAGTCGTGAATCCTTTTGGGGTTTAAGATAATTTGGATTTGGCTATTTGTTCATTCAGAAAATATTTAGTGAGGGGTGCCTGGGTGGCTCAGTCATGAAACTCTTGATTTTGGCTCAGGTCATGATCTCATGGTCCGTGAGATCGAGCCCTGGATTGGGCTCTGCGCTGACAGCTCAGAGTCTGCTTGGGATTCTCTGCCTGTCTCTTTCAAATAAATAAATAAACTTAAAAAAAAAAAAAAAAAAGAAAATAGTGAGTGAATGATTACTATGGGCAAGGCCCTCTGCTATGCTTAGGTAGTAGAGTCTCTTATCAAGGATTTTATCCACTTAAAGACACTCTCCTTATCTGTCCTACTGCAGAAGATAATAGCCATGAGAGATGTGCAAATCTAGCGTTCTCTGAAGAAGGAGTGCTTATTTCCAGATGCAAAGAGATAAGGGAAGGTTGTGTGTGGAAGATGGTATTTGAGCTCCATTGTAAAGAATAGGAAGGATGTGGGTGTTCAAAAATGATTAAAGGGAGAGGAGGTTATGCTTCTAGAAATGAGATGGACATGATGTTGTGAAAATTACTTTTGCTAAAACACCTAAATGTTGGATAAATTATATTAGCCTTTAAATGCATAGCAGGCGTGTAGATCAGAAAGGAAAATGCCCAGGGCTAAAAGTCAAAGAGAGAGAGCAGAAACCATAGTAGTAAACTAGCAGTGTGTCTTTTGCAGGGAGAGGGCATTTGGCTGATAGCAGAAATGAAGCACAATTAGAGTCAGCCCATAGGCTCCTCTTCTCCCCACCACCCCCCCCACACACTCCCCCCAAAGTAGAGAGGTATAATTCATACCCCTTTAACTTCTCAGGTATACAAATCCAAGAGGCACCATTCACAGGGTAGTTTGTGTAAATGTGTTTCAGGGGATGACCTTTCTCATAAAAAATAAAATGTAAAGATTTCTACTTGCGACTGTACAACTCACGGCCTTGGAGAATCACCTTCCCCCTCATTCAGCCAGGATCCTCAAAAATCCACACTTAATGAAAGGTGGGCTAGGAAATGTATCTCCTTTCTGGCAAAGGAAGATCACAAAGAAATTTTCACCCAGGTCCAGGTGAAGGAGTAAAGCTCCCCCTTGAGAACCTGAAGCTACAGGGTCTGCCATCACTCAGATTCAGGGCTCAATTTACATATCTACATGGTCTGAAAAACCTGGAAGTCAAGAAATTAAAGTTGGCCTAGGTTGGTAATGTGCCAGAGTGTCTGGCAAAAATAGTTATAGACCCTCCCTGGAATGATTCACCCTTTTTTTCTTTTCTTTTTTTAATGTTTGTTTATTTTTGAGAGAGAGACACACACAGCATGAGCGGAGGAGGGTCAGACACAGAGAGGGAAACACAGTATCTGAAACAGGCTCTAGACCCTGAGCTGTCAGCACAGAGCCTGACACAGGGCTTGAACTTGGGAATGGCAAGATCATGAGCTGAGCTGAAGTCGGACGCTCAGCCGACTGAGCTGAGCCACCCAGGCGCTTCTGGAATGATTTACCCTTAACCTAAGCCTTTTAGAATTCTCCCAATTAAAATCATCCAAATACAAGTTCATGGTCAAAAACTATAAAACAGGTGCAAGGGGTGGTGGAACCAACAAATATGAAATTAGATTCCTCTAAGGATGTTGCATTAGAATTACCCAAAACAAATTAAAATAATGTTCAAAGAGAAGAAAGGAGAAAAATTAAAGACTTTAGAAGCAGTTCAAACTTTCTAGAAATTGAGAATCATTATCCCAGAAACTTATGCCGGTGAAAGCACTATAGGAATGTGGCAAGGAATTGTCATGTTTAAATTGATGAAAAGCATTGATAGAATGTTAAAGACTCAGAAGGGAAAAAAAGAACAGAAAGAAGGAGATTATGATAATTCAGGCAGGAAATTACTCAAACCACGTCTATAATGGTGACTTTGGGGATAAAGGAAAAGAAACTTATTTAGCAAGATTTAAATGTACATATTTAGCAACAAGTCAGATGATCAGAGTAAATGACAAGTGAAAAATGGCTGAGATTTCATTGTTTAGAACCTCAGTCTGAGATGCGGACGCTGAGTGTACTGGAGGGTTGTGTAGATAGGAGTTGTTCTTACATTGTCCATGGGAAATACTCAATTTCTGTCCCTCAAACTATGAGAAGATACCCCTCCAAACATGAAATTATTTTCACATACAGAGGAGTAATTTCTTAGGATTTGAAAGTATTTCTGTATTTATTTTTGAAAAGTAAATGCATTCGGATACATTAATGTTTTAAAATTCATTATGATTACTTAACATTCTCCGTCTGGAGTTGAAGAAAGAAAGTGGTGATGTGTGTTAGGTGTGTATTTAGGTGCTCTTTTTCTTCCCCCTGCCCTTCTGCATGTAATGGTGAACAAAACAGTTGGTTTCTGCTGTCTCAGAATCTAAGGTTTAGTGAAGATAAAACCAAGCAAGCTAGGAACAGTTAAGTGAGATAAATGCCCTGGTTGGAGAAGTAAAGGGTACTATTGGAAACAAACTAGGGCCACTCAGCTGAAGCTGGAAGATCTGGGACTTGAATATGTATAGGAGTTAACAGGTGGTCGTAGGGCTGGGGGGATGATAGCACTGCGGCCTGCCATCCAGACAGAACAGTGTACATGAAGGTCTATGAGTGTGCAAGAGAGCATGACCCATTTGAACATCTGAAAGAAGTTCGCTATAGCAGTAGAGCATAGTGATTGGTGTTAGAATGGAAGGCCTGTGTTTGAATTCTGTCTCTACTGAGTTCCAGCTCTGTGACCTTGCACAGTTTTCTTTGTCTCTGTAATTCTGTTCTGAGAAGTAAATGAGATCATGTAATTAAGATGCTTAGTAACTTGGTGACACAGAGTAGACACTGTGTTTACTTTTGTAATGATGAGGAAGATGGTGATAACTAGAACAAGGAACTGGGAACAAATAAGTAGTCAGAGATGAATTATGGAAAGGTAAGTAGAGATCAGACAATACAAAGACCTTGTAGATCGTGTTAAGGAGGAAAGACAATTTATAAGGGCACAGGGAGGCACCGAAAGATTCTTGTAGGAGAATTTGGTGGTCAGATTGGTATTTCAGAATTAGAAGGATCACTCTGGTTATAGGGTGGAGTCTAGATTGATCATGGTCCACACTAGAGAAGGACCATTTAGGAGATTATAACAATAATCTGGTCAAGAAATGATGGTATTTTGGGTAGAGTAGTGGCAGGGAAGATGGAGAGAAAGGGTAGATTTGAAGGATATTTGAGAGATTGAATAAACATTACTTAGTACTTGATTATGTGTGGAAAGATGGGGGAGAAAGGATGTTTCTGAATATGGCAAGTGGGTGAAACTCGGTTCCATTTACCGAGAAATTGAAAGCAAACAGGTGTTAGGAGATGGTATGGGGGATGATTTCAGAAGTGGGACAGCTCATGGTGATAAGTACAAGATTGTGGGAGTGGATAGCTAAAGAAGAAGAGATGAAATACTTGTGAATAATCTTTTCTAATTTGTTTTTGTTTTTTTTTTTTCTACTTCGGAAGACGTGTTTGAGATGTGGTGGTTTCAGCAAGGTCTCAGTTTCCTTCCTTCTGCCCTAGTAATTTGGACAGCTGCTGCTTTCATATTTTCGTACATTACTGCTATAACACTCCGCCATGTTGACCCTGCTTTGCCTTATATCAGGTCAGTGAAATATATCCTTTTATAGGAGACTGTTTCATTCACATTTTAACATTGAAGCCATTTGCAATTGCACCAAAAACCATAAGATACTTAGGAATAAACCTGACCACAGAAGTCAAAGATCTGTACTCTGCTTCATAGAACACTGATGAAACATTGAATAGGACACAAAGAAATGGAAAAACATTTTATGCTCATGGATTGGAAGAACAAATATTGATAAAATGTCTATAGTAGCCAAAGCCACATTTAATGCTAACGTTTAAAATTCAGATTTCATGTTTGACATTACAACAACCAAAGGGATATAAAAAGGAAGTTATGTTTGGTTCTTTCCATGTGATAGAAAAATGTGGAGATGGAATTAGATTCACTTAGTGAACTAGTTAGTGAATTACGATGTTCAAGTGTCTTGTTTTCCAAACAAGTACTTGAGGTTGTCTCAGAAGAGAGATGTGGAATTATTCTCCCCTTAAAATTCAAAAATGCTGCAAACAACAGTAATAGTATTAAAATGTAATGGTAATGGCAACTATTTCTTGACCCACTGTGTACAAGGTAATGTTTCAAGCATTCTTCAGGTCTTAAATAATTGAATAGTTACAATTACCCTTTGAAGGAAGAATTATTACCCCCATTTGAGAGAGGAGGAAATGAGGTCCGAGGTTAAGTTATTTGTTCAAGGGCACATGATTCAGTAAGTGATGGAACCAAGGTTCAGTTTGACTGGATAATTTGATTCTACAGGCTCTGCTCATAATCTTTATGACATGTCGTCTAGATCTTTCTAACACATTTAAGTATCAAAATTTATCAGTAATATTTTTGAAATTTCAAAACTAATAACGACGTTAGTATGGGTACTCAGTTGCATGTGCTATGTCAGTAACTCTCTTTTTTTCCCAATTATAAAGGCAATATATACTTATTCTAACACATTTTAAGCAATACTAGACTGATTATAAAAGTAAAAAATGAAAGCCTGTTTCAGCCCTCTCCAGTTCCTGCCTGTCCAGAGGTAATATAGTGGTTTTGTTGATTTCCTTCCATTGTTTGTTTTGTTACTGTAGTTGTTTCACTTGTTTATCTCCTGAAAAGTAATCTTTCCAACATAGAAAATAGTGAACTTTTAAAGGATGATAAACCAAAAGCCTAAATTTACCTTTTAAAAATATCAAGAAGAGATCAGAATGTTACCATCTACATCTGTTCTCACAGTAGCATGCTGTGGAGTAAAGGATATCAACAAATTGGGTACACTTTGGGAAGATGTACAAAAATCAAAGATACTTTTGAATTTAAGGTTCCAAGTCTTGGAATAATCTGATGAAGAATCACCACCGTTCACCACTCTGCTAGCAGAATATGTAGCTTAAGGAGCCCGTTCATTCTTTAGTAACTCTTTAGCGAGCATATATCTGTGATTCCTGAGCATCCGTCAGCATTTTTACTTCCCCTTCGAGAACTTGTCTGCTTTCACTTTAAAGAGCTTTTAATCATTTAAGAGGCCATTGGGTTCTTCAGAGTTTCAGTTCTGTGATGGTACTGCATGTGACTTTCTGATAGATAGTACCCTAGACACTTCCTTTTCCATCCCTGTCGTTCTGCCTTTTTATTTTCCTGCTAATGACCTTAGTAATATTACCCTGAGATCTTTCTCCAACATTCTAATATATCTAAACTCAGTAGTACTTAATTTTACTTCTCAGGCTCGTTTCCTTCATCTGAAAAATGATTGAGTTAGACTAGATGCTCTGCAAACTTCCTTTCAGCTCACACATCCTATCTGAAAGGTTTAGTTGTTAATAGTCCCAAAAGACATAACCAAGTGTAAATTTCACTCCAAAGACAATTCCACTGCACATGTGCTTCAGTGGTTCCACTGCACATGTTCTCTTAGCGGTTCAAGTAGTGGACGCTCAGGTAGAATGCACAAGACTAGTACTGGGGCACAAGGAGAAATTATTAGAACTTCTGTATTTTGTTTAAATCTCAATGTTTATATAATACATACATTTTGAAGTTACATGATCAGGTTGTTTTGTTTTTTTTTTTTTTTTTTTTTGATAGTGTATGATCAAAATAATTTGATGACCACCGGGTTGGGGCATCATGCTGATGAGGTGATGGACTTGGCTCTTTTCACTTGTGGGCCAGTTTATGTCATTCTGATGCAGAGCCAAGGAAGGAGCACACTTAGCCAGTCGTCTTGGAAATGCATGCTTTTGTTTACTTATGGGATAGTTCAAAACTGTAGCATCACTTGAAATACAACTATTATGGATTATTATGGATATTTTTTTCTGATAAGAATGTATATACATTATTTTTGAAATTTTGAAAGGTAGAAGAAACAAACAAAACCACAATCTCCACCTCCTGAAGGTGATCAGAGTAACAAAATCTTTTATTTCTGAAGATACATTTTAGAGTCAGAAGGAACAATACTTAGAATTGATATTTGATACTTTAGTTTTCCTGAACTTAACCCAACTTAACTCGCCAAACCTTATTGATTCCTTACCAGACACGAGTTTCCATTTCGTTTTTAATCCCATTACATTGTGTTAGTTGAGATCCTTCTTATTTTCAAAAGAGACTTTGAAAGTCTTTGTCTTTTTCATCTTTACTGTAGTTTGAAGGAAGGGAAAGGAGGTAACATTTAATACGCATCTCCCCTGCGTCTGCTACTTTGCTAGATCTTCACATGTATGACCACAGTTTCATTTCCTCTTGTTGGTCTGATGAGGCTGGGAGGGAATTAATAGCCCCATTTTGCAGATAAGGAGCAGTCAGAAGGACTGAAAAGAGCATACCCAAGGTGTTGCAGTAAATGGTGGGTGGACTGTTGATCTGGATCTGTGTATTCCACACTGCCCTGAAACACAGGCATGTAAACCGATGCATTGCAATACATTGTACCAAGTGATTTCGATAGAAGTCTGGACAGAATGCTTTGTGAGTCTGCACTCTGCTAGAGGAGTTGGCTAAGGCTATGGAGGGGAGGGGACTCAAAACTGGTCTCGTGTGGAAGCTCCAGGAGGGCAAGGGCTTTGTCTCTTACTAACCACTGTATTCCTGTCCCTAAAATACTGTCTGGCACGTAGGAGGTGCTTGATAAATGTTTTTTTAATTAACAGGAAATGATTAAGTATTAATTGAATTATAGGCAGCATCAACAACAGATGCCAAAAGACAGAGTTGTGAAAGAACCTGCGGTGTTTAGGGAATGAATATTCCGGTGAGACAGATGAACACACCTGCCCAGGATGGAAGTCAGGAACACAGCCCTAACATACCAGCATGTGCTTTTGTCTGTGTGTTTTTCGAATCATTTTCGAATCATTTTCTGTTGATTTCTGTTATGTGAAAAAGAAATAAGCTAAAGCGATACAAGAAAAAGTGAACCAGGTAGGATATTGTGAGCTCAAACTGTCATGTTCTCATAAAATTATATAAGAGCTGAACTTACAAATGTATAGAAAGACAAAGGATTTGAAGTAATCCCTGCTATTTTTTATTCTTTAGAAAAAATGCACATGTATACCTAGTGTGAGAAATCCACATACCTTCTTTTTTTTCTTTTAGTGACACCGGTACACTGCCTCCAGAAAAATGCTTGTTTGGGGCAATGTTAAATATCGCTGCAGTTTTATGTAAGTGATGGGAATTATTTTAAAAATTGAAATTAATAGCTAAATTAATTTCCTTCTTTAAACACTACTCTGTTCGTTGTTTTACTTTCTGTTTACTGGAGGGACTGTTATCACTAAATTGTTGATCGCAGATATGTTTCTTTTAAAAGAAGAGCAATTTCTAAAAATGCTAAATTACAGAAATCATAAACATATCTATGAGGCTATTTAACTTCTCATCCAAATAGAAGTTGTAAAGTACAACCAAATATTTCTTGAGGCCTTAAGTGGATTTCTTAAGGAACCAGTAGAGGACAGAAAGCTGTAAACACACTGCTCACAACTAACACCAACTAAATTCATTTGGGATAAACAGCTTAGAAGTTTGAGAGCAGCCGTGGAACCACATTTTGATTTTTGAATGATGTTCTAATGCCAAAAGAATGGAGTTCTACTGGATTTTACATTCCTGTTTATTTTTTTGAACCAAACTTCATTAATGATTTACTAAAATATTTTTTCTCTCAGTTTTGACTGTTTTAAATATTTGCATTCTTCCATATGATATTTATTACTTGCTTCAAAAATTGAAGTCAAGGAAATGATTCAGTGCATAGAAATTCTTCTTATGACTAAAGTTTTCAAAAACTTGTCTACAAAAGCATATCTCTGTTTCCTTTTCTACACTTCTGAGATCCTTGATATTTTTGCCATGGAAATTTTGATTTGATTTGACTCTTTCTTGACTAACAAGGATAGTAAAATGGGTTGTTGTGTGGTTTTTCCCCCTGTGTAATTGACTGCTATATCTCATTGAGCCAAATTGTAATAATTTGATGAGAGTGAGGCAAATCATCTTTTAGTGTTTTGTTTGCCTAGACTCATTTTATCCATATTTTAGCACTAATTACTTTAGACTTTAATGCTAATCGTATAGAATAGTTTGTGTTTTATATAACACTTATCATTAGACATTTTCAGAAAACATCAAACTTCTCTCTTAAGTTTTATCCTGAATATTTGTAAATGTGAGGCCCACAGGAGGCCAGTGCCTTTGAGTCACACAGAGATATTACTAGTTCCATAATGCAACCTTAAAAGTTCTTTGAAATCGACAGCTGATTCTGCTTTTTGTTTTTTCTCTTCTCTCAAATAAAATGTAAAAGGAAAATCTATGATATATGACCTTTGTTAACTGTTGGCAACTTTATTCCCTGGTTATTTATTACTTTGTTGTCATTCGGATTATCTCTTCCCAGGCATTGCTACAATTTATGTTCGTTATAAGCAAGTTCATGCTCTGAATCCTGAAGAGAATCGTATCATCAGAATAAACAAGGCTGGCCTTGTACTTGGATTACTGAGTTGTTTTGGACTTTCTATCGTGGCAAACTTCCAGGTTTGTGCTTTAGCCCAGCATAGGTATTTTCCTGAAGTACCTAAATTAATACATGTTAAAAAGGAAACCTGAAACGTTCAGTTACACACTGTTATTGTTTCTTTGCCTTGACAAAGTAGAATCCCCTACCATTAAATTATTTGGCCTTCTTAGAGATCACTACATATACAATTAGAAAAATTCATTCTCAGTAAACTGCTGAACACCTATAAATTATTCTGACCTTTTAAGGATTCACAGAACTCTTTATTTATAAATTATCCCTTTAAGGGTCCACAGGACTCTTTATTTATTAGACTCTTTATTACTACTTAGTTGGTGATTACTCCAAGACCAGAGAGAATTGATATAAATTATAAGTGACCCAATTATAGACTTAAAAAAAATATGCCTGACACCTATTTTGTATTTATATTCTTGTTAAGATGTTCTCATTGATCACCTCTCTTTCTAGGTGTTCAGCCCCTTATATGAGTAAGTAAAGGGAGGATATGGAGCTCTTCCAGCTTTTTCTCAGGGAATTCTCAAAGTGGCAGTCAACCTTCATAAACATTTCCCAACTCTTCACATTCCTTTCTATTGACATTCTTTCAGCCACATCCTGGGCACATTGTGTCTTTTGATTAATCTCTCTACAGTCTTTATAAAGTTTCAGTTTAGACGTTTGATGCCCTATTTATACACACTCATCATACAAATATACTTATAGAGGCATATTCTTGCATCTAGTGTAGTTATTTTTGGTTGTTGGATGGCTTTCCTCCCACAATGATTTAAGGCCTTGACACTATCCTTCTTTGAGCTCTGCTGTTCCCTAAGTCCTTAATGTCTTCTGCAACCAGCTGGCTGAAACAGTCAAAGAGAACATGCAAAAACCACACCTGCCTCTTTACATCTTTAACCTTAACTAGAATGAGTCACATCATTCTAGTAACATGTATTTGCTAGACACAGGGGTGCTAGGAAATGAAGTCTTGCTGAGCATCAGTTCCTGGGGCAACTCTAAACCATGGAAGGGACATACAATTTTTGGTGGACAGCTACCTAGTTGTCTTTGCCACAAATAGGGTCCTGCCTTCCCTGATCAGTTTCTTTCTTTCTTTTTTTTATTTATTTTTATTTTTTAAAACATTTATTTTTAAGAAAGAGAGACAGAGTGCAAACAAGGGAGGGGCAGAGAGAGAGGGAGACACAGATTCCAAAGTAGGCTCTGGGCTCTGAACTGTCAGCACAGAGCCCACTGCAGGGCTTGAACCCACGAACTGCAAGATCATGACCTGAGCCGAAGTTGGATGTTTAACCGCCCAAACCGTTCAGCAACCCGCCCCCCCATCCATCAATTTCTAAAGCTCAGTGTTTAAAAATATGTTTTGGAAATTTTTAGTGTATGGATAGTGATTCTTTGCTCTGCTTGTCCCTTGATCAATTTAACAATATTTGTCACCCCCATGTGGGAAAATGAATCCCAACCTGACTTCCACACTTAATATGTTACTTCTATTAGTAACTAAAATTTGTTTATGCAATCCAGTAAATTCCCGTGACAGTTCCTGATTGCACTCACACACACTGCCTTTCTACCTTTATCTCATTCACCTACAAAAACAGTTGATATACTTTTTTGTTGTTGTTTTCAGCTTTCATTCTAATTCACTTCATCATCTGAGCCTTATAATTTTGAATCAAATTCCTTTTTCTCTCTTGGTCACATTTCTTTTCATGCAGCTTTGGACCTATTGAATTTCTTCTACATCCTTCCTTGATGGCTTCATTGCTGGGCCCTGTTTATAAGCAGACTCTGTAATAGTACCCAGATATCCTTCCTTCCTTTCTCACATAAACTGTTACTGCTTATTTTAAGTGGCGAGTGCATTGCCCCCTCTTCCCACTTCTCTCTTGCAAAAACAAACTCTAGCTGATTGATACAGGAAAAAAAGGTCCACAAACCAGATGTTTACAGTTCTAGAGCTTGACTTGGAAGAGACTCTAGCGCTGTGTTTTAAAGTAGGGACTTATTGGTCTTACCTCTTAAACATGTCTTGAAAGCATCTGCTTCTGTCCATTTTCATCTCCACTTCTCTCCCTACCATCTCCTTCTCAGCCAGTTCAGATTTCATTCTCTCTCATCTGGACTACTGCCATAGTTGCCTGAATACTTCCTCTGCACTCACTCTTGCAAGCCTTTCATTTAATATTGCTCCGGTATAATCTTTTGGACTTATATATACATCCTACTCTGTTTCTCTGTACCCCTGTGTAGAGCTGTACAGCTCCAAAGTTTCATGCAAAGACATAGAATCAAGAGAGAAAAAGGAGTTTGGCAAACTGCCTGCCAAGCTGCTTAATTAAGTCAAAGGTCTTACATGATCTGGGTGCTGTCTACCTCTTTAACCTCGTTCTGCATCATTCCCCTTCTTCTTTTTTTTTTTTAATTTTTTAATGTTTTATTTAGTTTTGAGACAGAGAGAGACAGAGCATGAGCAGGGGAGGGGCAGAGAGAGAGGGAGACACAGAATCTGAAATAGGTTCCAGGCTCTGAGCTGTCAGCACAGAACCTGACACGGGGCTCGAATTCACAAACCGCGAGATCATGACCTGAGCTGAAGTCGGACGCTCAACCGACTGAGCCACCCAGACGCCCCTCTAGACATTTTTTTTAAGGAGCCTATTTTATTTATTTATTTTTAATGATTTTATTTTTAAGTAATCTCTGCACCCAACATGAAGCTTGAACCCACAACCCTGAGATCAAGAGTCGCACACTCCACCGACTGAGCCACCCAGGCGCCCCTGCATCGTTCCCCTTCTTAATGTCTTCCCTTGTACATAACACTGGACTTTCTTTGTTCTTTAAATAAGATAAGTTATTTCACTCCATTTCATGTTTCCTTTGTTGGACATTTCACAACCCCAAGCCTAAACAGATCGAGGTGTCTTAAAGATCTCAGTGCACGCTGTAGTTCCCCAGGGAAATCTGGGAATAGACTTGCTTCTGTGTAGTTTGAGTTTTCTTTATTTGTATTCTTTGTGTTCTCTAAGCTCTGGAAACAAATTTCTCACAGTACTTCTTATAGTCTAATTTTATATCTATGGTTTTTAAAAATTTTTAGTTGATCTAGTTCTCCATTAATTGTGAGCACCATGGGTTTGTTCACCGTTGTGTATATTGCATATTTAGCACCTAACATAGTACTTACCACCAACATGTTCTCATTGTTTAGTAACTTCATGAAGAGGCTAAGGGACTAAGCAGGATGGCTAAAAATTCTCTTGTGATTATTGTGGCCGTCTATATATTTTTATTATTTTATTTTAATGTTTATTTATTTTTGAGAGAGAGAGTGCAAGCGGGGGGGACAGAGAGAGAGGGAGACACAGAATCTGAAGGAGGCTTCAGGCTCTGAGCTGCCAGCACAGAGCCTGATGTGGGGCTTGAACCCACAAACCGTGAGATCATGACCTGAGACAAAGTCAGACGACCAACCAACTGAGCCACCCAGGTGCCCCTTTTGTGGCCGTCCAAATAAATTTGATAATTTATTATCAAATTGGTTTCCATACAACACCCAGTGCTCATCCCAAAAGATGCCCTCTTCAATACCCATCACCTACCCTCCCTTCCCTCCAACCCCCCATCAACCCTCAGTTTGTTCTCAGTTTTTTGTTTTTTTTTTTTTCAACGTTTATTTATTTTTGGGACAGAGAGAGACAGAGCATGAACGGGGGAGGGGCAGAGAGAGAGGGAGACACAGAATCGGAAACAGGCTCCAGGTTCTGAGCCATCAGCCCAGAGCCTGACGCGGGGCTCGAACTCACGGACCGCAAGATCGTGACCTGGCTGAAGTCGGACGCTTAACCGACTGCGCCACCCAGGCGCCCCTGTTCTCAGTTTTTAAGAGTCTCTTATGCTTTGGCTCTCTCCCACTCTAACCTCTTTTTTTTCTTTTTTTCTTCCCCTCCCCCATGGGTTTCTGTTAAGTTTCTCAGGATCCACATAAGAGTGAAACCATATGGTATCTTTCTCTGTATGGCTTATTTCACTTAGCATAACACTCTCCAGTTCCATCCACATTGCTACAAAGGGCCATATTTCATTCTTTCTCATTGGCATGTAGTACTCCATTGGGTATATAAACCACAATTTCTTTATCCATTCATCAGTTGATGGACATTTAGGCTCTTTCCATAATTTGGCTATTGTTGAGAGTGCTGCTATAAACATTGGGGTACAAGTGCCCCTATGCATCAGCACTCCTGTATCCCTTAGGTAAATTCCTAGCAGTCCTACTGCTGGGTCATAGGGTAGGTCTATTTTTAATTTTCTGAGGAACCTCCACACTGTTTTCCAGAGCGGCTGCACCAGTTTGCATTCCCACCAACAGTACAAAAGGGTTCCTGTTTCTCCACATCCTCTGCAGCATCTATAGTCTCCTGATTTCTTCATTTTGGCCACTCTGACTGGCGTGAGGTGATATCTGAGTGTGGGTGGCCGTCCATATTTAAAGAGATTTAATGAGATTTGAAAACTCTGACTAAAAAGATACAAATTTAATTTCTTTTAAAACAACTGTGTATGATAATCAGCAAAACAAACACATGTGTCCTCAATGCCTACTTAGAGGAATTTTTCCCCTCCTAGGAAATTTACCCTCAAGGAAACTTGGAAGGGTCAAGTAAGCAGAAATCTATGTTAATTTCATAAGGCTGCCATAATAAAATACCATACATCAAGTGGCTTAAGATAACAGAAATTTATTCTCTCAAAGTTTAGGAAGCCAGAAGTCTGAAACCAAGATGTTAGTAGGGATGGTTCCCTTTTGGACACAGGCTATTCCATGCCTCTTTCTTAGTTTCTGGTGGAAACCAGTAACCCTTGGTATGCGTGGCTCATGGCATAACTCTATAATATATGCCTCTGTTGTCACATGGCATTCTCTCTTCCTGTAAAATTTATCCTCAAGGATACCTGGGAGAGAGGATAAGGATAAGTAAGCAGAATATTAGTTCCTAAGTTTCATTAACTGCTTTTAGGTAAAGTTTACAGATATAACCAATATGTAATTTATAACTTCTTTATCAGACATTGGCTCCTGACCACACATAATCTCTGTAATTTTTCTTGTCTTTGTCAAAAGCTAAGTTTTGTCTTTGATAAAGGATATATTTTTAAAGAGGATAAATGTGTCAAAGACTTTATTTAACTTATTAATTCATGAGAGAAATACTAGGAATTACAAATCAGCTCAAAAGAGAAGTCAAAGTACCATACATTTATTGTCAGATAAGGAATGTAAAATAAATTTATGATGCAAAACTGGCCATTATTCACAGGGTAATAATTAATAGCATTCAAAAGGACACAGTTTGCATTTATGCAGATGTGGATTATTTGTATTACTATCAGTGTTCTATAAGTTAACTTCTGTCTCTGTACATAACTTTCTTTTCCAAGTACAGAACACTTTAATCTAGCTTATGCAAGAAATAGGTCTATCATTGCCCTTTCTAGTAAAAAAGAGTATAAAAGGTATAAATACCCTCTTTTCCATAAGTGTAAGTGAGTTTCTGTGACTTTCGATCAAGTTTCAATGCATTTGTGCAAAAGCATTACATAAAATATGCCCAAAGAACAATGGTTATAATGAATATGAATAGAATTCTCTTCTGTTCTCTTCCTTTGCTCTTCTTCCCTGTGAACAAATATAGAACTATCTACACCTCAAAGGATGGTTTATTTCATTTTCAAAAGTCGTATGCAAAATATTTACCTATGAATTCTCAGCTACACATAGCTTTATCATTACAGAAGTTTTCTGTGAAAAGTAGCCTAATCCAAGCCAAAACTCACATGTGTGTAGAACCAGTCCCAGAGGCTCTAGCATTCCATAGGAAGAATGCTGTCTGACCTATTTCACGATCTTTTGCTGTTTCTCTGGTCTCAAAAATATGACAGAACTTAATGTACAAGCTGAAGCATTGCCAGTTAAAATCAGTTTTATATGCCTTTATTGTAACTATAAAAATATAGTAATGTTCTCCATTTTTTATTTTTACTTTTTAAGTCACAGGGTTTTATTGATGGGACTGTGTACTCGTCCCAGATGGTCATCAATCAGGTTCTATCTCTAGCTTCATCATGATATGAGAATATTTTTAAGGGGAAAAGTTCACTCATATTCCTTCTCATAGCCCTAAAATAGTTAATTTCATTTTTGTCTATATTTTTCCAGCCTTTATCCATACATACAGATAAATTCCCATATGAAGATAAGAAGATAGTACCATTTTGTTTTATTTTTATTATTTTTTGTATTGTTTTACAGGTGCCGAAGGGTTTTTTTTCTGTTACCCAAAGTGGAAATGACAATGCATTTTTTTCCCTTCTCAGTACTCATAACTCATTGCCAGTTATAACACCGCAAACTGGATCAAAGTAGCCTTTTCTCTCCAAAAGAAAACCAATGGCGTTGCCAAAAACGTTATCTTTTACTTCTTTATACTGGAAACTTCCTGTAGCTTCAACTAAGAAAGTTGGGTTCTGTATTTGTGAATTAGCACAGTTGACTGAAAGGAGGGGCCCAAGCCCTACCTCTCCCCTCTCGCTACCCTGTGATGCCCTCCGTGCCAGATGCTGTGCAGTGCCTTCCCAACCACATGAAATACAGACAGTGCCAGCTTCGAGAATTAGAGGGGCTCAACTGAAGATGTTTGTAGGATTTTTGGAGAGCCACTCTTGTCACTTTTAAGCAGAGGGTATATGTAGTAAAAAGTAAAATGTAAATGGATACCGGTAAGAGTGAGGTAAAGGGGGAAAAATTATAATTTATGATAATCCCTTGTATACTTTGTCAAAACCAATCAACTAGAGCCAAGGTGGGGTGTTTAAATTTTTTGAGACTTTAAATTGCTTTTGGATTTAAATTGGGTTTAAGTTGAAACTCCCTCCCTCCAGCTTTCCAACCTGCTAATCTCCCTTTGTCGTGCATTACTCTTTTTCTATAATCCTTATCACCATCTAACATACTATGAATTTTACTTGCTTCTAAAGTTTATTATTTATTGTTTTTGCTTCTTCACTTGAATATAAACTCTGAGGGCCAGATGCTTGCCTGTTTTGTTCACTGATATATCTGAGTACTTAGAACAGTGCTTGACACGCAAGAGGCACCCAAAGAAACATGGTATTCAATGAGTAAATGAACAACTACTGTCATATTTTCAGTAGTGGCATATGAATAATTTGGTTTACCGTAGTCCTCTGGCTTATGCTGAGTAGTCTAAGAGAGAATTACTTCAAGAAGTAATTTTGTAGAATTCTCAGTATTTTTGCACTCAGTGAATGTTCTATTGAAATTGCTGGCTTGTGCTTTTAAATATTGTGTTGGTAATGTGTTTTGAGTTTACCTTATTTACTTATTTCTTCTTTCCACCTCTTAGAAAACAGACTTTTTTCCTGTACACATATGTGGAGCTGTGCTCACCTTTGGTATGGGCTCGTTATATATGTTGGTTCAGACCATCCTTTCCTACCAAATGCAGCCCAAAATTCATGGCAAACAAGTCTTCTGGATTAGACTATTGCTGGTTATCTGGTGTGGAGTAAGTGCATTTAGCAGTATCCTTTGCTGTAAAATGTGGCTCCACTTGGAAGGGAATTGAATAACAGAATTTAAGTGAACACTGTTGGCATATTGTAAGCAGGTCTTTTGTGGGTGAGATTCTTGGGTTAGTAAATTAAAAGACTTGAAATGTGAAATTCAAATTTTACATAGGACCTCAGTAATTGAACTAGGAAGAAAGCTGATGTTTAGCCTGATCATACTCACTTCAGACATCTGAAGGATGAGTTTATGTCCTTGCGAACAATTATGGAGGATAGTACTGATTTACTGAGCAAAGGGGAGTTGACTCTGCAGACCATTTCATAGTAATCCTCCAGGCACATTTTAATTTTCACTACTGCTATGTGACATCTAGTCTTTAAGAAAATGGGTTTGGACCTTGGAAACAAATGTATGAGTAATCCTTTGGGACCTTTAAAGTTATTTTTATTTTGAATCTAATTTAAATGCACAGGTCTTGTCCGAGATTCTCCTTGACTTACTTTTTTTTATAGTGCTGACTTCCTCATCATTGTTGCACAGTGGCAATTATGGCAAAGATGTAGACCAGAAACTCCATTGGAACCCCGAGGACAAAGTAAGAGCTTGGAATCTACAAAACTTAGTTTTATATTAAAGATGACTATTTTGGTTGGTTTTGATGTATTCTTTTGTGTCATCACCAAAAATGTAACTTTTTCAGTAGAATAGTCAATTCTGTTAAATTAGGATTATTTACTATGTATGATTGAGTTTGTGTAGAATTACCTGTGTTATTCTCTCATGTCTGACCAGTGAACATTTTCAAGACATGAAGAGAATCATGATGGCAAAGAGTTTTCTCAGAAATTGTCTTTCCTAAATATGGATGTAGTGTACAACATACCCAACTGAGATCTTTTATTATTAGAATTCGTGTTTTCTGAATTATTATCTGGAAGTTTATTATTATGGACTCTACATTTGGGTTCCAGTATACTGGATATCTGAATGGAGATAGCATCTTTGATCCTGAGAAAAAAAGTGGAGGGACATATACTAAATAGATGATAAAATAGGTTTATCTGTTTTCACAAACCTCTCAGTGGCATTTCATTTTAAGTTATTTTTAAAGAATTAGCCCTGGATAGGACATGTTTATAAGAATGAAAGAATGGAGTAATTTATTAGATTCTTTCAGTTATTTTTAAAAAATATTTTTTAATGTTTATTTACTTTTGAGAGAGAGACAGAGACAGAGCATAAGTGGGAGAGGAGCAGAGAGAGAGGGAGACACAGAATCCAACTAGGCTCCAGGCTCCGAGCTGCCAGCGCAGAGCTCAACGTGGGGCTCGAACTCACGGACCGTGAGATCATGACCTGAGCTAAAGCTGGATGCTTAACTGATTGAGCCACCCAGGTGCCCCATTCTCAGTTATTTTTTTTATTGTATATATTTTTTTATTTTAGAGAGAGATATATGAGCAGAGGAGAGGGACAGAAGGAGGGAGAAAGAGAATCTCAAGCAGTCTCAATGCTCAGTGCAGACCCTGACCTAGGGCTTGATCTCATGACCCTAGGATCATGACTTAAGCCAAACTCAAGAGTTGGATCCTCAACCAGTTGAGCCACCTAGGAGCCCCTGGATTCTCTTAGCTATAATCCATATATTATTTAATGCTCTAAAAATGACACCACGTTTACCATGAGCATTTTTTACCTAAGCATTTTTAGTGACATTTAATGAATCTTAGGGTTGTGGGAAAGGCAGTAACTTCCTGATCATAGAGTAGAAGTTCTTCTGTCTTAGTTCTCAGATGGAAATTTTATTTGCTCTGGATGAAATTTACAGTAGGTAAATCATTTAGGAGGAACTTTCTAATGTCTGTCTTTAATTCTCGAGCTAGGTTCAATAAATTAAGGATTGGGTTTTTTTCCACAGAAAGCTCAGATATGGAATTATTTATAAAAGATAAATGGAATTAAGTTTTTAAACAAATCCGAATTTAGACAGTTTATATTTACAGAAGAATTGTGAAAATAGTACAGAGGGTTCTGTGTTATCAATGTATTCTATACCTTCCCCTTTTATTAACATCTTTAATTAATATAGCATGTTTGTTATAGTTAAACTCAAATGGACACATTTTTAACAAAAGTCTATAGTGTATTAAAATGTCCTTAGTATTTAAAGGTTTTTAAGCCCTTTAATTTTCATAAGGCAGATTGGATTATAAATTTTATGGGTTTTTTATTTGAGAGAAATTATAGATTATTTGAATGAAATTTCACAGAACTGTTCTTTTTTTTCCATGGTCACTCAAGGGTTATGTGCTTCACATGATCACCACTGCAGCAGAATGGTCTTTGTCATTCTCCTTCTTTGGTTTTTTCTTGACTTACATCCGTGATTTTCAGGTAAGAAAACACAGCGTTAGATTTATGCAGTCAAACTTCCTGCAGGTGGAATAAGAGAAGTTTCTATAGGCAAGTCTCCAGCCTTTTTGAAAATTAACTTCATAAGCAGCAATGCCAGAAGAGGAGCGACTCAGGGAAATTGTTTCTGTGTTTGGAGAAGTAGTGTATTGTTAGTAAGGTATTCAACCTTGAAAATAGGGCTGTAGAACAAGTAAATTTGCAGAAACTTTTTCACAGAATTTTCATCAACTCCGCCTACGTTTCCTGATTCCTCCGCCTACTGATTCCTTTTAGAAACCAAAGAAAAATGAAGAACTTCTGAGTAGAGAAGCTTGGTTTTCCCAACTCTGTTGGTACTACAGTTGATACCGTTGTCAGTATAGCATCTGTCTCACTCTTGTTACTCATTAGAATTGATTTACATCCCCAATCCCATAAATGTTCTTCAGAGCATATTGAAGATGTGATGTTGAAGACTTTGAAGATGTCTTTAAGGAACAAACGTCTATATATAATTTTCTTTTCTGTTACAGAAAATTTCTTTACAAGTGGAAGCCAATTTACATGGATTAACCCTCTATGACACTGCTCCTTGCCCTGTTAACAATGAACGAACACGGCTACTTTCCAGAGATTTATGATGAAGGGATAAAACATTTCTGTGATGATTATGATTCTCAGGGATTGGGGAAAATGTTCATGAAAGTTACTTACTCTGCTCTGAAATTTTCAACCAGTTAATCAAGGCTGACAGTGACTTTGATGAACACTGATAAACAAGAGACATAAATAAAGCCGTTTGATAAGTTATTTTAAAGGATATCATCAAGAAGAGCATGGGAAAACATTTATGCCTATACTTGTTTTTAATCCCAGAAAATAAAACCAAAGGACTACAACATTGTAGATTTTTTTCCTACTTATGAAAAACAACCAGAAGTGTACCAAGCAGTCTACAAAATCCAGCCTTTCATATTTTCTAAATCATCGTAAAGCGTGTTTTGTTTGGAGCACTTTTATAAGAGACATTTTCCAGGACCCCGGATACTCAGCATTGCTCAGCAGCTCCTTTAGAATTGGGTTTTGAAGTAATAGTTTTACCATATCACTACATTTCTTACAGTCTTTATAAAATTTTTTTCTTCTGGAATCCACTTATTAAGGGGAGCAGACCTGAATTCATGTAAGCACTTTCATTGCTTAGGCTTTGCACAAGTGATTCTGCAGGTGTTGATTTAATTCCTGCCATAAGGCCAAATACTATGCCAACTAGTCTGTCACACATCCTTGCAAGAGGTTCATGAAGCTTAGTCTCTGAAATGGGATTTTAATCACTTCATGCATGAGAGAAGTAGCTATAGGTAAGTTTACTTCAGTTGTGATCTACACAAAACAAGGGCTAGTGTTCATACATAAGGCTGAAAGGTTGTGAGTAATAGCAGATATGATTAATAGAAGTTACCACAGACTGCTGTCAAGAGCTTCTTAGATTTTCATTTATATAGAAATTATAATTATTTGTGAAAGTAGTCTTGAATGAGCAAATACTAACCCTTTTAAACAAGATGTGATCTTTGTAGGAAGGACAAAATCAATCCAAAGGGGGGAGAGGGGGAGAAAACTAGGTACAAAATAGTTGTGATATTTGTATCCACAAAAACAACTTTCTCTCTCTCTCTGTCATGCAAGTGATTGGATAGCTTCTACTTGGATCCATATCTGTGCAGATAAAGAATGGTTTACAGATCCCAGAGAAAATTCAAAAGAAGAAAATGATCATCCCGAAGGTTCCCAGTGACTGGTTCTCAAAAGAATCTTTGAAGAAGATTAACAGGGTTTATCATTTTAGAAGAAATGATCCCATGGCCAAAATAAAAGATGGTGACAAGTTTAACGTATAAGAGGGAGCACTTTAAAAGAAAATGGTTATCTGGTGGAATTAGAAATCTCAATTAGGAATAATTTTCTAGATATAAGACTGTGTAAATAATACTGCTGAATGAAGACTTCTGGGCTAATAAGACAGAAAGTGGAATAAAATACTATTTACATAGGTCACACAGTAGTGACCATGGGAGATACTTCAATAAATACCGATGCATTGAAATTTGACATCACTAGAAAAATATTTGGATACAAGCCATGAAAAATTTCTTTCATGCCTCTGAAAATCATAGTGCAACCACACCTGAGAAACACTGGTGGGTCCTGACTCCTGTACATCAAGGAAGCTGAAATTCAAGTTGTGAAGGACCACATATGGTGAGAGGGGGATTGATAGAATCAAAGTTTATAAATTACATGTGGGGAGGATGACACAGGAAGAACTTGGACTTACAGGTCTGTACTAGAATATTAGGTTTAGAAATATGCACTAACACGTTAAATTCTTATAAAACAAAAAGTTACTTCAATAGTATTTTAATCCCATTATGTAACTTTTACTCTTAAACATAACAGAGGGTGAAAATGTTAATTCAAAAAGGGATTATAAATAGATTTTTGAATGTGTGTTTATCCCTCACTTACACTGAAGTAATGGAAGAGAACCACACCCTCCCTTAAAATATGACTTGCCCCCAATGTCAGTACGGAAGCTTGTATAAACAGATAAGGCATTCCTCTTCAATTCATCAATGTTCCTGTATTGAATATTTAGTTTTAAGGATAGAAGGTTTTTAAGCTGACAAAATTAACAGATTCTATGAACTGAATGTATTTCTTTTTTGTTCTGGATACACAGCAAAACTGCATTTCCCAGCCTCCCTTTCAATTAAGAATTGCATGAGACTGAATATTAGCCACTGAAATGTAAGTGAAATGGATGTATTTGTTGTTTTAATATTAAGATTCTGAAAAAGGGGAATGCCCGTCCCCTTTTTTTTTTCTCTTTCCATTCAATGGATATTATTGATGATAAGATTTTAGGAGATGGCAGAATCACATGGTAAAAGGAACCTGAACTAGTCCACTTCTAATTTTAGATTTTAGAAAAACAAGATCTTCTATAATTTAGGAGCTCCATTTTTATCCATCCCAGTTACTGAGATTATATTTTGCCGGAATAGTGTCATATGTTGTAAGTGCTCAGTGGATTTATGAAAGAGAAAGAACTTCTCTTATCTCTTCTGCCTTGTCCTGTATAGACTCACTGTGAAATGAAGTTCAGTAAACATTGGCTTATCTTTATAAATCCGTGATTTATGTCTTGCTTCTTTTCAATCAGCCAGATTGCTAGTTTTAGAAAGAATGTACTCACTTACTAGGAAGATAAGAACATAGAACAGAACTAAAACAGGAAAAATCTTTCTGAGGCATCGTGAGTGTAAGCAACTGTATCCTCCAAAAGGCATGGTAATTTGAGAGAGAGTTCACCTTCTCAGGAAGCCTGAGTAGAATACAAAGAGAAAACCTCAAATTCTAACTTATGCCTTTGGAATGTAGTGCAAAGAGAAACTCCACATGTTTGGAAGCTGGCGATTTAGCTGAAAAACACAAAGGTTCTACTAAGTTCTCACCAATTCTCAGATCCCAATTCCTGCTGAAAGGAAATCTTCATTTAAAATATTTGAAGCAATGGGGCGCCTGGGTGGCGCAGTCGGTTAAGCGTCCGACTTCAGCCAGGTCACGATCTCGCGGTCCGTGAGTTCAAGCCCCGCGTCAGGCTCTGGGCTGATGGCTCAGAGCCTGGAGCCTGTTTCCGATTCTGTGTCTCCCTCTCTCTCTGCCCCTCCCCCGTTCATGCTCTGTCTCTCTGTGTCCCAAAAATAAATAAACGTTGAAAAAAAAATTAAAAAAAAATAAATAAAATAAAATATTTGAAGCAAGTGGTAAAACTAAACTAAATCAGCACAGCTCATCTCCACATCAACCACAGATTAGATTGATGCAGCTTCCCAGTCTAAGAGCCTGACAAAGAATAGGCACACCCTTTTGTGGAGGTAATTATTATTTATTTCCATACCTACTGTTCTTTTGTAGAAAATATCCAGCATGCAGCAAGAAATTATAAGACCTTCAAGGAGCAGAGACATTTGATTTGATTCAGAGAGAAGTCAATAGAAGCGAACTCAGAGATTGCCCAGATATTGTAGTTATCAGAAGTAGATTAACTATGATAAATTGCTGAAGGAGGTAGTAAAAAAGGGTGGAAAACATGCATGAAAAGATGGGGAATTTCAGCAAATACATGTAAACTATGGGAAACAAAAAGAAAATTCTAGAATTGAATATGATATAACTACATAGGAAATGATTTGATAAACTTGGAAGACAGGACAATTGAAAATAAAAAACTGAAAATCAAAGAGAAAAGGGAGTGAAAATAAAAAGGACAGAGTATTTGAGTTTTGAAGGCAAAATCAAATGGCCTTGCATCTTGTAATTGAGTTTCACAAGGTGAAGAAAAAGAGAAGGGCATGGAAGAAATGTTTGAAGAGATATTGACAGAGAACATATCCACAACTGATGAAAATTAACACAGAAAATCAACAAAAAAGTGAGACTTTGGAAATGATTAAAATTGATAAACACCTAGCAGGATTAATATGCTGAGCTGAATAGTATTCTCTCAAAAGCCATGTCCATCCAGAACTTTAGAATGTGACCTTATTTGGAAGTAGGGTTATTGTAGATATACTTAGTTATGACATCATACTATATCATATTAAATCCAATGATTTAGTGTCCTTATAAGAAGACCATAAAGAGACACAGAAACAGAAGGCCAAGTGAAGATAAGGCAGGGATTGGACTAATGCATCCTCAAGCCAAAGATTGCTAGCCACCAGAAACTAGTAAGAGGTGAGGAGCAATCCTCTCCTACAGCCTTTAAAAGGCTCCTTGATTTTTAAAGGAAAATGTGACAGAGTACATTTCTATTATTTTCAAGCCACTCAGTTTATGGTTATTTGTTATAATAGCTTAGGAAACAAAAAAAACCTGATCAAGTAAAAGAGAAAACAGGTTAGTAATATCAAGAATGAAAAGTGAGACCAATACAGAACATGTTGACATTAAAGATAATAAGAGCATGTAATGGACAACTTTATACCAATAAATTCAACAACTAAGATGAAATGGACATATGCCTTTTACTTTTGTTGTTGATTTTTATTTTTTATTTAAATTCAAGTTAGTTAACATACAGTGTAGTCTTGGCTTCAGGAATAGAATCCAGTGACTTACATATGACACCCAGTGCTCATCCCAAAAAGTGACTTCTTAATGTTCATCACCCATTTAACCCATGTCTCCACCCACCCCCCTCCAGCAATTCTTTCAATTTAGCATAATACCCTCTAGTTCCATCCACATTGTTGCAAATGGCAAGATTTCATTCTTTTCCATTGTCAAGTAGTATTCCATTGTATCTGTGTATATACCACATCTCCTTATCCATTCATCAACCGATGGACATTTGGGCTCTTTCCTTAATTTGGCTGTTGATAGCATTGATGTAAACATTGGGGTGCGTGTGCCCCTTTGAATCAGCATTTTGTTTTTTTATCCTTTGGATAAATTCCTAGTAGTGCCATTGCTAGGTCAGAGAGTAGTTCTATTTTTAATTGTTTGAGGAACCTCCATAGTGTTTTCCAAAGTGGCTGTACCAGTTTGCATTCCCACCAGCAGTGCAAAAGGATTCCCCTTTCTCTGCATCCTCACCAACATCTGTTGGTTCCTGAGTTGATAATTTGAGCCATTCTGAAAGGTGTGAAGTGGTATCTCATTGTGGTTTTGATTTGTATTTCCCTGATGATGAAGGGTCTTTTCATGTGTCTGTTTGCCATCTGAATGTCTTTGGAAAATTGTCTATTCATGTCTTCTGCCAATTTCTTCCCTGGATTATTTGTTATTGGGGTGTTAAGTTTGGTAAGTTCTCTATAGATTTTGGATGTTAACCACTTTATCCAATATATCATTTGTGAATATTTTCTCTCATTTTGTCGGTTGCCTTTTAGTTTTGTTGATTGTTTCCTTTGCTATGCAGAAGCTTTTTATCATGATGAGGTCCCAATAGTTTGTTGTTGCTTCTATTTCCCTTGCCTCTGGATACCTGTCAAGTAAGAAGTTGCTACGGCCTAAGTCAAAGAGGTTGTTGCCTGTTTTCTCCTCAAGGATTTTGGTGGTTTCCTGTCTCACATTTAGGTCTTTCATCCATTTTGAGTTTATTTTTGTGTATGGTGTAAGAAAGTGGTTCAGGTTCATTTTTCTGCATGTCGCTGTCCAGTTTTCCTAGCACCACTTGCTGAAGACACTGTCTTTATTCCATTGGATAGTCTTTCCTGCTTTGTCAAAGATTAGTTGGCCATATACTTGTGGGTCCATTTCCGGGTCTCTATTCTGTTCCATTGATCTGAGTGTCTGTTTTTGTGCCAGTATCATACTGTCCTGAGGATTCCAGCTTTGTAATACAGCTTGAAGTCTGGGATTGTGATACCTCCGGCTTTGGTTTTGTTTTTCAGGATTGCTTTTGGCTATTCTTTTCTGGTTCCATACAGATTTTAGGATTGTTTGTTCTAGTTCTGTGAAGAATGATGGTGTTATTTTGATAGGGATTGCATTGAATATGTAGATTGCTTTGAGTAGTATTGACATTTTAATAATATTTGTTCTTCCTATCCAGGAGCATGGAATATTTTTCCTTTTTTGTGTGTCTTCAGTTTTTTTCATAAACTTTCTGTAGTTTTCAGTGTATAGATTTTTCACCTCTTTGGTTAGATTTATTCCTAGGTATTTTATGGTTTTTGGTGCAATTGTAAATGGGATCGATTCCTTGATTTCTCTTTCTATTGTGTCATTATTGATGTATAGGAATGCAACCGATTTCTGTGCATTGATTTTATATCCTACAACTTTGCTGAATTCATGGATCAGTTATGGCAGTTTTTTGGTAGAATCTTTTGGGTTTTCCATATAGTGTATCATGTCATCTGTGAAGAGTGAAAGTTTGAACTCCTCCTGGCTGATTTGATGTATTTTATTTCTTTGTGTTGTCTGATTGCTGAGGATAAGACTTCCAATACTATGTTGAATACCAGTTGTGAGAGTGGACATCCCTATCTTGTTCCTGACCTTAGGTAGAAAGCTCTCAGTTTTTCCCCATTGAACATGATTGTAGTGTTGGGTCTTTCATATATGGCTTTTATGATCTTGAGGTATGATCCTTCTATCCCTACTTTCTTAAGGGCTTTTTATCAAGAAAGGATGCTGTATTTTGTCAAATGCTTTCTCTGCATGAAATGGGAGGATCATGTGGTTCTTGTCCTTTCTTTTATTGATGTGATGTATCACATTGATTGTTTTCTGGATATTGAACCATCCCTGCATCCCAGGTATAAATCCCACTTGGTCATGGTGAATAATTTTTTTAAAGTAATGTTGGATTTGGTTGGCTAATATCTTGTTGAGGATTCTTGCATCCATGTTCATCAGGGAAATTGGTCTATAGTTCTCCTTTTTCATGGGGTCTTTGGTTTTGGAATCAAGGTAATGCTTGCTTCATAGAGTTTGGAAGTTTTCCTTCCATTTCTATTTTTTGGAACAACTTCAAGAGAATAGGTATTAACTCTTCCTTAAATGTTTGATAGAATTCCCCTGGAAAGCCATCTGGCCTTGGACTCTTTGTTTTTGGGAGATTTTTGATTACTAATTTGATTTCTTTACTTGTTATGGTTCTATTCATTATTTCTATTTCTTCCTGTTTCAGGTTTGGTAGTTTCTATGTTTCTAGGAATTTGTCCATTTCTTCCAGATTGCCCATTTTATTGATGTGTAATGCTCATAATATTCTCTTATTATTTGTATCTGCTGTGTTGGTTGTGCTCTCACCTCTTTAATTCTTGATTTTATTTATTTCGGTCCTTTCCTTTTTCTTTTTGATCAAACTGGCAAGGGTTTATCGATTTTGTTAATTCTTTCAGGGAAGCAGCTTCTGGTTTCATTGATCTGTTCTGTTTTTGTTTGTTTGGTTGGTTGGTGGGTTGGTTTTGATAGCATTGATTTCTGCTCTAATTTTTATTATTTCCTGTCTTTTGCTGGTTTTTGGTTTATTTGCTGTTCTTTTCCAGCTCCTTAAAGTGTAAGGTTAGGTTGTGTATCTGAGACCTTTCTTCCTTCTTTAGGAAGACCTGGATTGCTATATACTTCTCTCTCTGCTGAGTCCCAGAGGTTTGGGGCTGTGGTGTTATCATTTTCATTGGCTTCCAGGTGCTTTCGAATTTCCTCTTTAACTTCTTGGTTATCCCATTCATTCTTTAGTAGGATGGTCTTTAGTCTCCAAGTATTTGTTATCTTTCCACATTTTTTTCTTGTGGTTGATTTTGAGTTTCATAGCGTTGTGGTCTGAAAATATGCACAGTATGATCTCAGTCTTTTTGTACTTGTTTAGGGCTGTTTTGTGTCCCAGTATGTGATCTATTCTGGAGAATGTTCCATGTGCACTGGAGAAGAAGGTGTATTCCTTCTGCTTTTAGGATGCAACTGCTTTAGGATGCAATTTTCTGAATGTATCTGTTAAGTCCATCTGGTCCAGTGTGTCATTCAAAGCTATTGTTTCCTTGTTGATTTTCTGTTTAGGTGGCCTGTCCATTGCTCTAAGTGAGGTGTTGAAGTCCCTACAATTGTGGTATTATTATCAATGAGTTTCTTTATGTTTGTGATTAATTGATTTATATATTTGGGTGCTGCTGCCACATTTGGAGCGTAAGTGTTTACAATTGTTAGGTCGTCTTGGTGGATAGACCCCTTAAGTATGATATAATGCCCTTCTTCATTTCTTGTTACAGTCCTTATTTTAAAGTCTAGATTGTCTGATATAAGTATGGCTACTCCAGCTTTCTTTTGTTGACCATTAGCATGATAGATGGTTCTCCATCCCCTTACTTTCAATCTGAAGGCGTCTTTAGGTCTAAAGTGGGTCTCTTGTAAACAGCATATAGATGGATCTTGTTTTCTTATCCATTCTGTTACCTTATGTCTATTTATTGGAGCATTTAGTCCATTGACATTTAGAGTGAATACTGAAAGATATGAACTTTTTTCCATTGTGTTGCCTGTAGAGTTGGAGTTTCTGGTAGTGTTCCCTAGTCCTTTCTAGTCTTTGTGCTTTCGGTCTTTTTTGTTTTGTTTTGTCTTTTCTCCCTTCAGAGAGTCCCCCTTAAAATTTCTTGCAGGGCTGGTTTAGTGGTCACGAACTCCTTTAAGTTTTGTCTGTCTGGGAAACTTTTTCTCTCTCCTTCTATTTTGAATGACAGCCTTGCTGGAGAAAGAATTCTTCACTGCATATTTTTTCTGATTCAGCACACTGAATATATCCTGCCACTCCTTTCTGGCTTGCCAAGTTTCTGTGGATAGGTTTCTGCAAACCTGATCTGTGTTCCCTTGTAGGTTAAGGACTTTTTTTCCCTTGCTACTTTCATGATTCTCTCTTTGCCTATTTTGTGAATTTGAGTATGATATGCCTTGTTGATGGTCAGTTTTGTTGAATCTAATGGGAGTCCTCTGTGTTTTCTGGATTTTGAGGTCTGTGTCTTTCCCCAGGTTAGGAAAGTTTTCTGCTATGATTTACTCACATAACCCTTCTACCCCTTTTTCTCTCTCTTCATCTTTTTGGGACCCGTATGATTTTGATGTTACTTTTTAATGAGTCGCTGATTTTTCTAATTCTTAAATCATGCTCTTTTGCCTTAGTCTCCCTCTTTTTTTCTGCTTCATTATTCTCCACAAGCTTGTCCTCCATATTGTTGATTTACTGCTCTGCCTCATCCATCTTTGCTGCCGTGGCCTCCATTCATGATTGCAGCTCAGTTATAGCATTTTTTTTATTTCTTCCCTGACTAGCTTTTTCTTCTTTTATATCCTCAGAAAGAGATTCTAATCTATTTTTGACCCCAGCTATTATTCTTATTATCATGAGTCTAAATTCTGGTTCAGACATCTTGCTTGTATCTGTGTTGATAAGTCCTTGGCTGTTGTTTTTTCCTGCTCTTTCTTTGGCATGAATTCCTTCATTTCATCATTTTGAAGGAAGAAAGGGAATTAATAAGGGAAAAAATTTAAAATTAAGAAATTAAAAACAACACA